GTTGTCCCTATGATTTTTCGAGGTTCATGTAACATTTTCGTCTGTGACGACTGAAGTGTTACACAAACTCTTATATATTTTTAAAAAATGATTCAGAAATGGTTTAATATACAGGGTGGTCAATTTAAAAATACACAATTTTGGTATATTCCGTTTCCTGACTGACTCTGTATAATCGAAAATAATTTTAAATTATACACAGTTTGATATACAACAGTTTAAAAAAAAATTATATACTCTATAGTTTAGACTAACAAAAGAAAATTAGGATATTTTAATTAATAATAATGTACAAATTGGTTGCTCTTATATCTTTCTTATGTTTATGTCTGCCAGATGTAAAAACAGAAATATTTAAGACCATAAATAGGTAAAAGAATAAAAATAATAAAAAAAGAATTGATAAATATAATCTATTTCATGTAAACAATGACCAATAGAAAAACAACTACTAACACAATTAATTTTATTAAGAGTATATGTTAATTATTTATCCCGTTAAATGCATTTTAACTATTTATATTGCTAACATATATCATAAAAAATAGTATATGTCTGAAATTGACATACTAAGTAAATGACTAATAAACTAACATTTTTTACATTACTTATCAGAAAATTTAACATTAACTCAACTGTTTTAGGGCCAAAAAAACTTTTTAGTGATGAATTGGTTTTGATATTTTTGTTATCATTTTTGTCATTGATTATCATGTGTTGACTATCAAATTGGCTATAGTAATTTTTTTTTTATGGCAGCTCGTAAATGGGATACGGTGGATCTCAAATAACACGAGGATTAAAACAGGGTGATACAGCACCAACACTGTTTAATTTAGCAATGAAATATAGCAGCATATCTAGATGAGATAAATATCATGAGCAGAACCAAAGCAACAGTCGAGAATAAATGAGAATGTAAATCACATGCTAAACAAATAGATCTGTCAATAAACACAAAAAATACTAAAATCCTAGTATAAATCCAATCAGAGAGAGCAACATGACCCTACCTAATAGTTGACAACTTAGAAAAAGTAGATAGTTTTATCTATTTAGGAGTCAAAATCACAAAGGGTAACATAGAAGATGTGGAGCTTAGCAGAAGAATCATCCTAGCCAATACAGTATACGGTTCTATGAACTAGATATTTAAATCATGAAATGTACATCAAACCACTAAGATATGAATCTATAAGACCATAATCTGATCAATGGTGAGCTATGGATATTAAACTTGGATATTGACTCAAAAATATGTAAACCACATGGACATCTTTGAAAGAAAGGTACTAAGATGAATACTAGGCCCTATAAATAAAAAAACAGGTAGCAAATCAGATACAGTTATGAAATATATAACATGTATAAAGAAAAACCAGTAACCTAGTATCTTGTAAGAATGCAGGAGAAGAGACTTATTAGGAGGCCGAGAAAGAGATGAGAGGATAATGTGGATGAGGAGGCAAGTTGACTTGGAGGTTGATTGTGGAGGAGAATGGCTACAGATCATAACAATGTTGTTAACTAGTGTCATCTATATATCTTCTCTGGAACTATATAAATTTTTAACCTTAACAGAGAATTCCCATAATCAATTGCAAGAAGTATTCTACATAAAAGTAGTAAGAAGGAAAGTTAAAAAAAATTTATTAAATTGTGGATAATTGCGATTGTAGTTATACCACTCTATTATATGAACATTAAGGTAATTTCTTGTTAATATTGTATGTTTTTTTAACCTCAAAACTAAATTTAGGCTTGGTGTCAAATATTAACACACATCAAATAAATATTAGTAGTTGACATAGGTGTCACCTGAAGTTGGCACTAGTTCCATTTTATATTGAGACTGGAAAAATATATTTTATTATCCTCTCTATCTAATAGTTACAACAGCAAATAAGTATGGTATGTATGTAATTCCACGCAAAAGAAAAATAGATCCAGAACCATACCTAAAGGAAAATCAGGAGAATATTTTAATGAAGTGGATTGATGATGTAGCCAGAGCCAGTTTAACAACAGCAGCTTATGAGCAGTATCCAGGTAAGTACTATAAGTTTTATCATTATATTAAAGAAAAATGTATTAAATAATGATCTGTCTTGTTCCAGATGCTTATTAAGAAACTGGGTAGACAGAATCCCTTGAAAGATAAGAATCCACGAAGAACTTACTGTTGTAGTTTGTAGTGACCAAACTGTTTACCAACTACCAACAAATTAATTCTGATGAAAAAGAATGGCTAACAGTCCTTATAACAGGTAATGCGTAACAAGTCACTGGTAAGTTGACACCACCAATGGTCATATTTAAATGACAGAATTTCAAACAAACTCTCACTTGGTGTTCCTGAAGAATGAGTATGAGAAATGTTTTTGGTAAGTGCTTGACAAAATGCAAAATCCCTCTTCAGTAAGTACTTCTAATCATTTATGGATATCCCATTTAGCATTACACACTAGTAAATTTTGTGTTGAATATATTTGTAGCACTTCATCTGAATATAACACATTAGATTCAGCCAATGGATGTTGCTGTATTTCATTATTTGGAACGGGATGTATACCAGTGGCTGATTGATATAATCAGACTTTTCCAGTTTTAAGAAAAATTTAAATCTGTCCTCTTTGGAAAAAAGTACTACAGGAGAGGCTTGTGGTATCAATTTTAAAGAATGGTTTCTAAAAATGTGGCTAAGTTACCTGGAATTTTGGTTCTATTATGTTTCCCAATAAGAAAATAGACATTTTAAAGAAAGAGCAGGAACTGCAGGAAATGAAAGATGACAAATACTTTATAGAAAAACATATTGATTAAGAAAAACTAACTCTTTTCAAAACTAGTCTAGAATAGAACAGTGACAATGAAAATTTATTTCTCCTTCATTTTTACAAAAACATTTGCATAAAATATGTTCCTTTAGAAGAAGAAATAAACAAGTTGAAAGTAAAAAATGATGTGAAAGAACTGGATAATGAAGACAACATCATTGAGGAAGCCACTTGTATTGGGGACATACCAAATCATGAAGACAATGATGAAGATATTTATACAGGATAAAACTGATAAAACAACAGAAGAACAGAACACAATATATAAGATATTGAACCAATCTGAAGCTGAAACTAATATAAACATCAGATGCTTTCAAATGCCGCATTCCTCCAACTAGGGGTAGTTTTCACTACTATTCACTTCTGCTAGTATCAATCACAAGATCAGTCTTTTTCAATGGTAGAACTACCTAGATATTCAACATCAAATGAAATTATATCCTCTCCTTTTAAATGAATACTATTTTGGCCTGAACCCAAAGTATCCTTAGTAAGAAAAAGAAAGTGGAAAAATAAAATATGGAGTATAAGAAGTACAAGCTCCTTCAAGAAAAAAGTAAAAGAGCAGAAAGTAGATGAAAGAAAATGGATGAAAAGGGGCTTACTAAAAACAGAAACCTAAAGTGATTTAAAAAAGAAGTTAGTAACAAAAAAGAAGAGAAAAGACAATATAAATATGTATGTATAATACAAAAAATTTTCAATAATTGTAAAGTTGAAGTTGTTGGTATTAATTATTGTGATGACAGTAAAACTTCATCTAGAATTAATGATAAACATGTCACTGTAATATTATTTCATCAAATCATAAAAAAATGCCTTAATCTCAGAAACTCATTTCAGAAGAAAGAATAAAATATCAGTTTCCGGATTCATTAGATGTAGATGGTTAAATTTAAATATTACTGTAATTATATATTATTTATTCTCATTACCTACTTGAGTAATTATCACTAACCCTTGGATGTGTCAACTACTAATTCTTTCATTTTGTTTTTTACTGGCAGTTGCACTGTTTGTAAATTTTATAAAAAATAATTTGAGTGTACTCAATGCAATTTTCCAATAATTTTCAAATAACATTGTTTGAGGCTAAAAAATATTTTTTTTATTCGTATAATGTCAACTACTACTAGATTTGGACAATGAACCAATTGGAAAAAGACACATAAGGAAGGTCAATCTAGAATGAAACGGAATGATGAGATTCCAATAGGATAAGAGGCAATGTTTGAGAGAAACTGGTAATATGCCTGAATAAGTGAAGAACATTAATGTTTACTTGATATTGCTAAAATATGGATGTAAAAAATAAGCTGCGGAATCATCAAAAACTTGAATTTTATAAATAATTTGGCTTTAAGCAACTTCAAAAAGTCAATAAGGAAGATAGGTGTGTACAACTACCTAATTACCTTCATAAGAATTCCCTGCCATGGCAAAGATTATAGCAGCAAAATGGTAACTAACATTTCTTAAAAAAAAAAAACACAAAAAAACATACAAAACCAATGAAGTGACTTAAATCTCTTCAACAATCAGTAGCTCAACATAACATAATCCATGGTACTTAATGCCAAATATTTGAAAATCATACAGAAACCAAGAGAAATATTTGTAAATAGTTAAATTATCCAAGAATATTTTCCAGTGAATATAAAATCACCAAGGATTCTTTCAAAATAGAAAACAACATTATGGGTGGAACTTACACTATTGTTCAGTGTTCAATATATAACTCGAAATTCATTACTAATGAGAACATAGTTTGTTACTAAATAAAAACCAATTATGCAAATAACTAAATGTCAAAAATAAACTAATTATTTATATTGAAACCAAAGAGAATAATTCAACATTGATTTAATTAATAAGTGAAACTAAATTAGTATGCACAGTACACAAAAATAATGATGAAAGAATGAATAAAAATCTGGTTAACTAATCTCTTATTTTAACTAACAGATATTACAAAACTCAATAGCTCTAACCAATATAATGCAACTTTTAGCTTGAAATAATTAGCATGCAGTTAAACTTAATAATATTATTTTTATGCTAGTATTTTAACAAACAAAAATTAAATAGTAAATATATTCCTTAATTTAAAATGTTTATGTGTTTGCAATGGTTAAATATGGAAATAAATGTAAATCTTACTAGTTATTTGTTTAGTCACTCAGAATTTTTGTATTACATATCTACAAAACCAATACAAATTTTTTTTAGTTTGGCTAAAATGAACAATATTGAAACTAACTCCTATTGGTGCTGCCATTAGCATTTAAAAAGAAAATTTTATTCTTAGAAAATTATATCCCTTTATTAATTATACCAACAATAGATGAACATTAGCTAAATTAACGTAATGGGGTTAATATAATGATTATTTTAGAAAAATAAGACCTGTTTACAGCAAACAGTATAAACAAAGAAATGCTGTTTTTACTAAAGTTGCGGAGATCTATAACCATTGGAACTATCACTAAATGCGTAAAAACGATAAATTAATACGAAACGCACCTAAAAGGTGTTGAACACACCGATCACAAAGAATTTCTAGTTTTTTTTCAACCATTGTTATGACAGTTTAATGGCATTTTCACAGCTGATATTGGTAAACACTAATTTGTTCACTTCCATTATTTTCACTCAATATTTCACTGCATCACTTCATTTCGTTTCAATATTACACGGCGTGCTATAATTAGACATTCTATTTGAAAACGTAAATTAACAATCAGCTGACTAGGAAGTGTTATTTTGCAAACTTTAAAACGACGTGCGACATACAATTCATTATCACCAAGGACAGTATACTGTCTGGGGGAAAACTTAGGGACTTTCTTTAATGGACGTGGATACTAGCTCTACGGACGTATAATTAAACACAAAATGTTTATTTCAGAATTCAGAAAAATATACTCCATTCCACGAATATACGACTGTTTTAAATTCGGTTTAAGGTATCGATTTAAAGGTCCAATGTACTGAATTGTACAATAGTAAACTCTCCCCATTTTTAAAATACTATCATCACAGATATAAACCTTAGATTTAAATATGAAGTCATGATATAAATATAGAGTTGATAGTTTATAAAACAGTTGTAATTCAGATTTTGAAGTATATAATTACTATCATTAAGTTTATTATTATAAACAAGTTGGTTTTTGAATTAAGTAATTTAAACGAAGTGTAGCAATACTTAAGTGATTAAATAGTGTAATTTATTTAGTAATTAGTATTGAAAAAACACAGTAAACAAATATTTAAAACTAACAGAGTGAAATATTAGATTCTTTTTCTGGTTTCTAAACCATCGTTCTGCCAATTTCTTTTCATTTATATTAAAACTAGTATATTTCTTTTTGTTACAGTTGTAGTGCCTAATAAAGTAATAAAATAGTGTAATATCAAAGAAACTCGGCACGCCTCTTTAGTGTTTACATTTTATCGAAACCCAACCCAAATGTCTGATGAATACATTTGACTTCATAGACGTCATTGTATTTATTTGTAGGAGAGTTTGCCTAAAAATTTTTGCTATTTTCGGATTAAATTTCATAATAAATGTTGCGTCTATATATAAACTCACAATTTTTATAAAGTGACGTCACTTATATTTAAAATTTCCAGAACGTCAACCTTAGAGTTCAAATTTTCCTATAACACAGCTAATAACGAAACCACAGAATAATACACAATCAGAATGCCCACTCTCCATGGAAAATTAAGTACGGGCATCTCGTTCGCGCAGACGTTCCGCCATGTTTTAAAGGAAACCAGTGTTGTTTATATGGTGTGCGTAGAAAAATTAACCCGGTTTAATTAACTTACGGAAATAGACATACTATACAATTATATTAACATTGTTAAATATAATAACATAAATATAATATAATTAAACATAAATATAAACAATTACATAACCTCACAAATCATATGTCTGTGTTATGTGTTTCCTTCCAAAACATGGCGCGCGTGCTGAAAAACTTCAAAGGCGGCATCTGAGAGTGGACAATCTGATTGTTTATTATTCTGTGACGAAACCATCGAAATATAATCTATGGAGAGGGCATCACGTGACTAAAAACGACCTCACTTCGGCCATACTGTTATGATCGTTTTGACAGATCGTGTATAATAGTTTACGTTTGTTGTTTTTCGAACATTTTTTATAGTTTTATAATACTTTTATAGAAACGGTAATATTATATTGTCATAGTGCATAATAATGGTTTCTTGTTCTCAAAGTAGTTGCAGTAACACAACCAATGTTAATATAAAATCTTCAGGAAGAACGTTCCACAGGTTAGTATACATATATGTAAACAAAGTAATGGCCCGTACTTCAGAGAATAAATTAATAGTATTCATAAAAAATCTTACAGTAACTTAGAAAAGTTTCTCGATTAATTTTTCAGTCATTATTGAATATTTTTCAAAGTTTCCAAAATAGCAATTAAAATATCCACTTCCGATAAAATATAAGTAATAAATACACAGAACAATAAGATACCAATAAACAATTTGTAAGCTGTTTATTATAAATTATTTTTTAGTTCAATAATCATATTTTTTATTTAGAAAATAAATTTGTTATTAATACTTAGTGATGCATATAATTGTATTTTTAGGTTTCCAAAAGAAACCAAATAAATATAGTGTTTTATGTTCAAAACATTTTTTAGAAAAATATATTGATAGAACTTCACTTTCTTCTATTCGTTTAAAAGACACTGCTGTTCCAATAGCTTATATCACACAGGTAATATATTCTTATTAACTACTGCAACATCATTATTTTTATTTCTACACAGTATTTCGATTGTGATATTTGACAGATATTCAATTTTGTTTTTTAATAATAACTTTTCTAACTTTGTTAATTGAACTAAATTTTTAAGTGTCAGTTAATTTGTAGTTATCAAATATATAAGTTATAAAATAAACGTATTTGTTTTATTTTATACCGTACATTCATTTTACCATATAAAATATTATTTATATTATTATCTCTTTCAGACACAACTTGTTATTTGACTGTATTAATTGATCTTTATGTATACCGTGATTTTAGTGTTTACCTCGGGATAAAAAAATCGTAGTTTATTATAAATGTATTGCACCTGTTTAGATTATGATTAAATCTTCTGAATAACTAGTCATATTTGTATAGTAGTTTTAATATTATTGAGTCTGGCCCTGATGTTATCGCCATATTGGTAGGATCATTAGCCACCAATTTAGCCACACCTTCTGACGCCGTTTTTAATACACACGTTAATATGCTCATAGCGTCAACATGGTGTAATAATCAGAAAAATGTAATCATCATTATATTGGAAATTTTAGATTTATATTGATTAAATTACTAAAACATTTGTTATTATTGATAATATAAATTTTATGAAATAACTCTTCCAGTCTAATATTCCACAAAATAATAATTTTAATTGATACGGGAATACTTCAAATTTTATTGACAGTTCAGCATGTGGCAAAAGTGTATAAAGTGTTGCTGCTTTTTTGGAGTAAGAATTTTGTTTATGTTTTGATTTCTTACACAATTTGATCATAATATATTATATATTAATAAATTGTATTTATAAATATATATTAAATTTATATTAATAGCTTTAAAAACTAATTATTATTGTGTATTTTGATTGCGATATACCAAAACAAATAAATAGTCTGTAGAAAGCTGATAAGCTTTCATATAAGATTATTTTGAACAAGAAATTATGGCGGGACGTTTTTACTATTAAAGCTCTAAAAAAGATAAGTTTAAAATTTAGAATATATAATTTTGTATTAAAATGTTTTCTTATGTATTGTAGTGTTTTGCAATAGTCTTGAAACTAAGTGTATTTACTGTTAATATAATAGTTTGACAAATAGTTGACATTTTAAAAATCCCTCACTTACTAACTATTCTGATGTTTTGGCAACGCTATGGGGTTCTGACGTCGTAAATTTTGAATGACATGCAAGCATTTTTATATGAAAAATGCTATATTCATATTTATTATCTTTTAATTAAGACCACGTCATATTTCTTACATTATTGAAAGACGCCACAATAAATATCTAATGACATTATTTGACGCCATTGTTTCAGTTGTCTACGTTCAAAACTTATTTTTGTCAGACCAGCAACGATGTAATATATCTCCATGATACTATAACAAAACAAGAGATACGTCAACGCGCATGTTCTTGTGATGTAAGCCTGAGACAACTTTAATGACGGCAAGTTAAATGCTCATAAGTGTTCATGTTAATAATGTTGTTGTGTTAATCGAGTTTGCTATCCTGCGTATTTCAAAACGTAGTGAATGATATTATTATTTATTCATTCATCTAGTAAAGAATTTGTATATTATATTGTTATATAAATTTTGTGGTGAAAACATTCAGTTTACTGTGTTAATATCAACTAATTTGTTTATCGTACGCAACTTCCTCTCGACTACCTGTAGCTACTTTATAAAGAAGACTAATTATTTGATTGCCATAATGTATTGAGCATTGGTGTGTTGCTTAAAAAATAATAATAAAAAAAGTAAAAATTTTTCGACGTGTCGTTTTTTTTTGTGTTTCTTAGAGACAAACAAATGCATAAAGTATGGGTCTCCAAGTGTTTTCAGCGAGACAATTTTAATGTGGAAACCGCGAGAATATGCTCAAAACATTTTACAGAAGCTGATTATTGTTTAAAAGAAAAACTAATGGGATTGCCTGACAAATAGTGGAAGTTAAGAAATGATGCCATACCTTCTCTTCATTTTATAAAATCCCCAAGCGCTAAAATATTGCCTGAACATAGACGCAAAAGAAGAATGGAGAAAAGAAATGTATTAAAAAACATGTGAGAATTTTGGTTTTAAACACACTTTAACAGCAGAGCAAATGTTTCTATAGATAATAATAAATATTTCTATAGACTTTTCTATAGATAAATTATTTAAAAAAACTTATTAGAAGCTGCAAAATATGTAAATGTTAGCAAAGATGTAAAATTACTTTTTTTAGATGTAAAATGTATTTTAAAATACGAATTCTAAATAAAAATATTAAAGATAATTAGAATATCTACAAGAGAAAAATCATTAAGATGTCACACAGATTGTAAAATAAATGTCTAAGCCGCTTTTCTTGTATGGTCAAATTTTTACAATTTAGCGGCCTTTTATATTTAATTTATGTTTTATAGCAATATTTATTTTGT